ACAGCAGCACTATTATAATAGCAAATTGTGGCAACAATTTACCCTAGAGTGGTAGAGTGAGTGAGTAAATAGCCCTAGATTGGAAGAATAAATAGCTTCTTGGTTAACAGGAGAGTAGATAAATAAATACCATGAAATTTTATACATTGGTTACATCAGATAACTAGCAAACACAACAATGTGGATGAATCTCAATAAAACAGGTCCCAAAATAATACATATATCCTGATACTCTTTTTTATTTTTATTTTTTTAAAGATTTATTTATTTGAGAGAGGGCATGCAAGCAGAGGGAGGAGCAGAGGAGAGGGAGAGAGAGAATCCTTAAGGAGACTCCCTGCTGGGGTGGGTGTGGGGCCCAACACTTCCTCTATCCCAGGACACTGAAATCATGACCATGACCGTAAGAGCCCGTCACTTAACTGACTGAGCCAGCCAGGGGGCCCACATCATATCCTTTTTTAAAGCTAAGAGCAATTAAAATAAAAATATACATAAGAATATGAATTTTACGTATATATGAAGACAGGGGGATGCACACATATATACATATATAAATTGTGTAAAAGAGAAAGCAAAGGAAGCAGGAAGGATTCAGGATGATGGGTAACTTGTTGAGGAGAAGCAGTGGGAGGGGGAAGATTACTCCACTGTATGGTTAGATGGAAGGTATTGTTGAGGTCCTAGGTTTTTTGTTTGGGTGATGGGTTTGTAGGTGCTTATTATAATATTAAAAATAGTAATTAACTAAATAAAAGTATGCCATTCAAGGACCAGTAAAGACAGATGCCATGAACCAAAGATAATGATTACTACATTTCTTTAATAACTGATTTCTAAATAAAGAAACATATTATTCTGTATATGCAGCTATAGAAATAATATTTTGAAATCTCTATGGGTATAACCATCAAAAAGGCATACTCATGAATACTGACTTTTGCCTAACTTTGGAAAGATTTTTCCTGAGTTCTATATGCTATATAAATGGATATTGCCTAAAAATGCATATAACTTGGTCAGCTGGAGAATGCTTGAGGTTTTTGTGGATATTTGAATTTTATTTTATTAATTAGAAATACTTGTTTCTGAAAAAAATTTTTTAAAGCATGTTAGTTTACTTTATTATTATATTAAATACATGAATTTCATGATTGGATTTCTTATAATGCTTCAATGCGATTATTATTTTGGAGGGCACAAAAATTTGGCCTACTTGGCTAGATTTAAGAACATAATCCTGGAATTGGCCTTTTTCTCTAAGTCCCAATATGGATTTCTTTATTTTAAAAATCATGTTTCCTTTTGTCTCGGCCTCATTCTGGTTAATTGACATTTTATTCATTGAATTGTTGTTGTATTGTTGCAGTAATTTCTGTTTCAGATTATTCTGGTTTTCCTCCAAGATGCTCACATTATTTAAAAGTGCTACTTTATATGTTTACTTAAATGCCTACTTGGTTACAGATACTTTGCTAGATCCACACCCAGTCATTGTCTAATCACAAACTGAGACACATGTTCTGAAACTAACAATGCTTTTGTGCAAGCAAAAAGGGCTGACCTGGACTTAAAGAAGTGACCTTTAAGCGAAGCTAGAAAGGATGACTGGCAGACTGTTAAAGGGCGGAGTACAGGTCAGGTATGGGATTCAGGTTAGCAGAAACTGCTTATACCAAGATGCTGTGGCAGAAGGAAATGCAGTACAATTAATGAGTGAAAGAAAGAAATACGCAGGGCAACGGTGGGACATCAAAGAGGAAACAGTACAGACTCAGGCAGGGGCCTGATTCACTCAGGACCAAAGAGCAATGGGAACCCCCTGAAGATTTTTGATTAGGAGACTACTGAAGAACAGATTCATATTTTGAAAAGAATTATTGTCTAATATGTGTCTTCCTGAATAGGCTGTAGGCTCTACAAGTAGAAAGAGGAGCTGTCAATCTCATGAAGTACAATTCAAGTAGGTTTTTAACGAAGAATAGATAGCACTATTTAATAGCTCAGTGTCTGGCACATGGCAAGTACTCAGTAATGCTGGCTGTGGTTTTCATTGCTCTAGATTGGCCTTTGACATGGACAGTGGCTCCTGTGGAGTTAGAGGTTTAATGAAATAGTTCAGTCCAACAGTATCCACTGAAGACCTGTGATATACTTGGAAGAATCAACAGCTAAATATATTAAAATTGCATCACTTTTTTCTCATAAGCCCAAAGATGTAACAGGGTAGAAAAAGTGATGGAGACTTCTGTTAATAAATCAGATTAGCCTACAGTAAGGTGACTAGGTACTCTTGCTTTGCACAATTCATTTTTTTCAGTTAGAGTTTGGTGCCTGGTGAGATTGCTTTTATAGAACCATTTCTTCTGGAGTTCTCAGGTAAAATTCCCTTTTCATAGTTCATTTGAAGTAATTTCAAGCTTATTCCTCAGTTATGTTAGTTTATTTTATATAAAGTGAGTTACCTTGTCATTTTTCATCCCAAAGACTGAAGATTGCTATTAGAAATATTTCTTCTGAAACTCTATAATCATTTTCATACTATACCTTTAATATTTCCTTTTTTTAAGTGTTATACATGATGTGTCTTTTCTTAAAATGTGCAGTATGTAGTTATATCACCAATGACCTGGCCCTTTTTTCTTTCCTCTTTAATAGTAACCAGAACCACCATGTAGCACATAATTGTTGTTGTGCATATTAATTAAAGGTACCCCATCTGGGTGGACTAATTTACCAGAAAGGTCCCCTGCTTCTGAGACCTTCTAAAGGGTGACATCAGGGTCACTTTTCAGCTCCTTTTCTGCCTTCTCTGGGTGCCTGTAAGCCATGCAAAAACTACATATTTCCTGTCTCTAAGTAGTAACTCAGTATAAGTTAGGTATTGCTTATAATCAACCAGATTATAGATAATCCTTTATAAACAAAGCAAACTATTTAAAAAGTCAGTCAGTTGTTCATTTATGTGTATTAAATGTAACCTTCAGTTAAAATATTAATTGTATTTAATTTGTTTTTAAAACTTAGGTAAAATTGGATATATGGGGGGGAAGTTGTCTTTTAAGAAAATTTTTTTCAAGGGGCGCCTGGGTGGCTCAGCGGGTTAAAGCCTCTGCCTTCGGCTCAGGTCGTGATCCCGGGGTCCTGGGATCGAGCCCCGCATCGGGCGCTCCGCTCAGCAGGGAGCCTGCTTCCTCCTCTCTCTCTCTGCCTGCCTCTCTGCCTGCTTGTGATCTGTCTGTGTCAAATAAATAAATAAAATCTTTAAAAAAAAAAAAAAAAAAGAATTTTTTTTTTTCAAATATAGCTAAGAGTCTTTTTTTTAAGAGTCTTACTTTTTAATGGTCTCAGCTTTAAATGCCTAGAAGTAAGTTAAAAAAAAATACATTCATCTGTCTACTTAATTTCTTACTATGGAACTTTTTTTTTTTTTAAGATTTATTAATTTGAGAGAGAAAATGAGAGGGAGCACAGGGGAGGGGCAAAGGCAGAGGGAGAGAGAGAAGCTGAAGCAAACTCCATGCTGAGCCTGGAGCCTAATGCCGGGCTTGATCTCAGGATCCTAAGGTCATGACCCGAGCTGAAACCAAGAGTTGGTTGCTTAACTGACTGTGCCACCCATATGCCCCACCCAGTATGGAATGTTTTTAATATATACAAAAGCAAAGTGATGAAGCCTCATGTATCTGTCACTTGGCTTCAGCAGTTGCCAGTGTATTGTTTTATCTGCTTCTTCCCACTTCTCCCATCACAAATTATTTTGAAGCAAATCCCAAATATTACTATTTTAATCTGCAAACTCATCAGTTTCTACTCTGAAACATACCCTTCTTTAAATTTTAGTAATACAAGCACAGTTCATTATCACACTTTAAAAAATTAATTAATAATATCAAACATCCACTCAGTATTCAGACTTTGTTTCATAAGTGGTTTAAAGCTGGTTTGTTGGAGTCAGAATCAAAATAAGTCTTGGGGCACCTGGGTGGCTCAGTTGTTACATATCCAACTCTTGGCTCAGGTTGTGATCTCAGGGTCCTGGGATCCAGCTCATGGTTGGGCTTTCACTCAGGGTGGAGTCAGCTTGAGATTCTCTCTCTCTCTGTCCCTTTGCTCCTCCCCCTGGCACATGGGCCTGTGTGCGCGTGCATGCTCTCTTTCTCTAGAATATATAAATCTTTAAAAAAATCAAAACAAGTGTCTGCAGTGTAATAGGTCAGTATGTCTCTTGATTTACTATAAATCTATAGCTTCCCTTCCCCCTTTCCTTTTCTCACATTTTATTTGTTGGAGAAAGTGTCATTTGACCACTTTCTGCATTTCACTGATTAAATCTCTTGTGATATCATTTAGGCTTAGCAAGAATATTTTTAAATTATGTTTAAATATGATACCTGATCTCTATGGACCATAAAAATTTTTTTGTTTAAATGGAGAAATGAATGCTTAGTTGTTGAAGAATGAAGGATTTCAAAGATTTTGTAAACATGAAAGGGAGGATCTGAAAAGTCCATAAGCCTCAGAAAGCAGAGAATTTTGTAAGGCTATGTTTATATCTCTGTGATTGTTTTGATAACATAATTTGTTGCTATCTTAAAATATTGTAAAACAGGGCTCCTGGGTGGCTCAGTGGGTTAAGCCGCTGCCTTCGGCTCAGGTCATGATCTCAGGGTCCTGGGATCGAGCCCCGCATCGGGCTCTCTGTTCAGCAGGGAGCCTGCTTCCTCCTCTCTCTCTACCTGCCTCTCTGCCTGCTTGTGATCTCTCTCTGTCAAATAAATAAATAAAATCTTTTAAAAAAAAATTGTAAAACATTGGAATACAGAATTGTAGCAATAATATTACTAGCTTAATTTTTAAAAAACTAACATTTTTTGATCATTTTTTAAAATTTATTTTCAGCATAACAGTATTCATTGTTTTTGTAACACACCCAGTGCTCCATGCAGTCTGTGCCCAAAAACTAACATTTTTTATCATTTTTTTCATTTACAAAAAAGATACCAGGTGATCAGCACTCCAACAGATTTTTTTATGGTAATGGAATATGTGTCTGGTGGTGAATTATTTGACTACATCTGTAAACATGGACGGGTGAGTAATTTATTATCTAGTACAGTAAGCCCCTAAGCTAAGAAGAGACTAGTAGGAAATAGCAAACCACAAAGAAATCTTCAAAGTCAGGGTTGCTTCTGTAATAAAGACCAACTAAAGATACAGAATATTAGACATTTTTTCTTTCTTAAAAAATATACCTTTCAGGAGTGCCGGGCAGGCTCAATTGGTGGAGCATGGACTCTTGAACTTGGGGTTGTAAGTTCAAGCCCCACACTGGGTATAGAGATTGCTTAAAAATAAAATCTTAAAATAATATACACCTTTTGGGACACCTGGTGCCTCATTTGGTTAAGCATCTGCCTTTGGTTCATGTCATGATCCCGGGGTCTTGGGATGGAGACCTGTGTTGGGTTTCCTGCTCAGAGGGGAGACTGCTTCGCCCTCTGCCCCTCCCCCTGCTCTCTTGCTCTCTCAAATAAATAAATAAATAAAATCTTAAAAATATACATATATACTTTTCAAAATACTGATTTTGGGACCCTAGGTGGCTCAGTCATTAAGCGTCTACCTTGGCTTGGGTCATGATCCCAGGCCACATGGGGCTGCCTGCTCAGAGGGAAGCCTGCTTCTGCCTCTCCCCCACACCTCTGTATTCCCTCTCTTGCCATCATTCTGGCAAGTAAATAAAATCTTAAAAAAAAAAATAGTGATTTTAAGGAACATATTCCACTTAATTGCCAACATGATGTCAGTGAAAAATCTGTTCCATAACATTATGTTGAAGCTTCAAGGATTTCCTTTTCTTAGCACTTTCACATAAGTTGTTTTACATTATGTTTTACTTGTTGATTGCTTAAAACATTGTACAAATTTAGTAATATTAATTGAAAATTAAATCTTCCTAGCCTAGGAGCAAATAAAGAACCTTATTGATTGACATCTTGAACTCTAATGCAAGTTTCTGACTTATTTGTCTGATTTGTTGAGAACTCAAGCCTGATTTAATTAGCTTGCTCAGTTACATTTGGGCTGATTATGAAACTAAAACTCTTGCTATGTACATGTCTCAAATATTCTTAGTTCAGCTTCTTTTATACTTGCTAGGTTGAAGAGGTGGAAGCAAGGCGGCTCTTTCAGCAGATTCTTTCAGCTGTGGATTACTGCCATAGGCATATGGTGGTTCATCGAGACCTGAAGCCAGAGAATGTGCTGTTGGATGCTCACATGAATGCCAAGATAGCCGATTTTGGTATGTAACTCCATAGTTGTTCAGAAATGTACTAGTTGCCTTTTAAAGTGTGTCAGTAGCAACTATTGAAGAACTATGAACTTGTAGTTTCAATTTTATAAATCTGATACCATGAAAAAGGGGTTAATGCACAGTCTCCATGTTGATTTGTTAGGTTCATTTAAACACAATTTTAAAAATACACATGCTTCTAGAGAAGTTTAGAGGGCCAGTTTCAAGGTACATCCATGTAATATGCATTTTCTCCTAAAGGAAAACCTGTCTTTTTTTTTGGAGAGGGGTCACAAACTCTTTTGAAAATATGGGCACTTCCTTTGATGAATGCACTTAAAGAGAAATACCTGAAAATTTGCGTGCAGTTTTGAAGACTTACAGCCTTTCTCATTTGATCAAGGGTTGACTTCAGGGTAAAATCTAACTACTTGCTAAAAAGAATAGGAGTTTTTGTCAGGTGTAAAACAAAAAACAAAATGTAAATTTAAATGCACCAAATAGTTTCTGGGGTAAACATTCCTGGAAAGAGTACCATAGTAGGGTGTTTGGCAAAAGGATTAGGAAGTAAGAGGTTATAGAAAGAGAGATGGAAACGTGCCCGAGTTCAGTGTTGCTTATGTAAATTTTTTGTCTGTACCTTGTCTTTAATCTAAAAACTAGGAAACTAGTTTTCCTATTTCTCTTCCTTCTCTAAATCGCAAAGCTCTTTAGTATGATACTTCAACTAGATTTTTGGTTCCATAGATTATTTTTTCTATGTTGAATTAAAGCTTTCCAAACTAAAAGCTTTTTTAATGTAATTTTTATAAATTGGAGCTTGTCTGATTTCTACTTAGAGATTGTTTTAAAAGACTTTGAAAGTACAGGATAAAAAGTAATGGTCTCTATTTCTTTCAACTGTAGAAATGGATAAATAATATTTTGATGCTTTTATGTTTGGAAAAGTTCATGTAATTTAGAATAACCTCATATTTGTGAAGTGAATCAACATTTTTTTAAAAAGGTTAATTTATTTGGAGAGAGCACTAGTTGGGCGAAGGGCCTTGGAAGTGGGGAGAGAAAGAATCCCAAGCAGATTCTCCGTGAGTATGGAGCCCAACATGGGGCTTGATCCCACAACCCTGAGATCATGACCTCAGCCAAAACCAAGAGTCGGATGCTCAACCAACAGCCACCTAGGTGACCCAAGTGAATCAACATTTTTAGTTAGAAAAGGAATTTAATTCCAATCATATGTGATGTGCGTTATCTTTTTTGTCAGAGTGTAAGCACTCTGAAATAGTCTTCTTCTAGTCTCTCAAGTGCTTGCCACTGTTTTAAAATAATTATAAAATATGATATGCAAAACATTGAAGACTTGACATTTTTCTTCATGCATTTATCTATGTCTACATATAAAAATATCTAGCACAAAGTAATATTACTCTTATTTTCAGGATTGTCTAATATGATGTCAGATGGTGAATTTCTGCGAACTAGTTGTGGGTCTCCAAATTATGCAGCACCTGAAGTCATCTCAGGCAGGTAATAATAGATCAGTGGAGAGAGTAAGCTCTTTATAATCTTTTGTTCATTCTAATAACATTTAATTAAAATATGTTCTAGTTCAGAGGATGAGATTGTTAACATAATAGGAACAAATTATCCCTTTAATTTTTCCATTGTTGAAGAGAGAATAGTTATGTTAAACAATTTTTTAAACATTTGGTTTAGATTTTGTAATGAGTATATTTAAGGAGTTCTTCCATTTAAAAAAAATGACTGAAACAAATCATGATTTTCTTCATTTTGGAAAAGTACGGATAAGAGAAAGCATTTGTTAAATTAAATTTAATGTCATCATTTACTTATCAGACACTGTCCTTAAATAATAATTTATATATTCTTTTATAAGGTACTGTATAGAGTATTATTTTATGTTTTGTCTTTAGAAGAATGAGATTTTTCAGGGACAGTATTGTCATTCCTGAAATTCAACTGTATAAGTAGGGATTGGAACTTACTCATTGGTATATTCAAAAAATATTTATACAGATTGCAGTGGTAAACAGAAGACTTTTCACAGTGACCAATGTCTGATTTAAAAAGTTAACAGAATTCACTGAGAGAAAATAAAGAAAAGGTATTATCGCAAGGAGCAGGTATAGGAGTTTTGGACAAGTACTGCAAATGATATAAATGATGGACAGCAATTTTTTGAAATGGCTTATATTCTTTTAATTGGAATTGTAGAGATTTACTTTGTTACCTCGGACCCAGGTTTGAATTTGTCAGTGGGGTATCAGAGGCATTTTAGTACTTCAGAAAGGTGAGAAAAAAGGAATAATATTCCAGACATAGGTTATGTGGAGCAAAGCTAATCTTAATCCCATGAGCTAATCTAACAAGTGATTAGAATGAAAGTCATACTCAGGATAACATGATACAGGACAAATACTGTGGAAGAGATTGCTGCAGGACTAGTTCAGCACTTTAATTCTTCAGAAACTCTTTAAAATAGGCATGTGAGGGTTGAAAATTCTATTTTATATGCATTTTCTTTCTTATAGTTTTGTGGTAAAAGGATTTAGCCTAAACACTATAGTAGTATTTTTTCAAGTTTGTGGTCATTTACTTTGATGTTTCCTTAAAAAAACCAACCATAGTAAGTTTTATATTTTTTAATTAATTAGTAAGTTGTGAGTTTGTGACAAATAAAGTAACACTTTCTTTTGGAAAGCTTGAATAGTAACTGCTGAGACCAATTCCCTATGGCGAACAAGCATTGAGTGTTGAGGTGTGGCCAGGGACTTCATTAAAGGCTTGCAAATGAATATACACCGAGTCTACACCATGTGTGTACAGAAGCAGGTATACTTGGATGAGAACAAATGGCACTTGCATTTCAGGTTGGCGTTGTCATCTTTTCTCTTAGATTGTATGCAGGTCCTGAAGTTGATATCTGGAGCTGTGGTGTTATTTTGTATGCCCTTCTTTGTGGCACCCTCCCATTTGATGATGAGCATGTACCTACGTTATTTAAGAAGATCCGAGGGGGTGTTTTTTATATCCCAGAATATCTCAATCGTTCTGTTGCCACTCTTTTGATGCATATGCTGCAAGTTGATCCCCTGAAACGAGCGACCATCAAAGATATAAGGTGATTCTTCTTTTTGTTACTGTTATGTACATTTTATAATATTAATAATTGTATCACTAATTGAGTGCCTGCTTTATGTTAGACTCTAATACTTATTGTATAGGAATTCTGCTTTCCTTTTTACACAGACCTGATCATGTCATTTATCTTTTAAATATTTCAGATTGTTCCCCATACTTTTTCCTTGAGGTAGCAAATCCTCTAAGGCCCTTCCTAAGGAGGCTCCTTTTCCTGCTCTGAGGTTTCACTCCTGCACTCACCACCACACCCACTTCAGCTACACTCAGCTTTTCCTTCTTCATCAAACATAACATGTATTTTATGCTTTCATGTTCTAATTTATATTACTGCCTCTGATGCCATTTCTGTCTCTTTTGACCTGACAGACTTCCATTCATCCTTTAAAATTCTGCTTACATATGACCACCTTTGTGAAATCAATTTGGATTCCCCTAGGCAAAGTTAATTGCTTCCACTTCCATGATTTTCAAATTTTGTTTATGGTTTTTTTTTTTCATTATCATTTCAAATGTCAGTGCGTATTTTTCCAGTCCTAAGTTGTAACTCCATAAGGGTAGAGAGAGTGTCTTACTCATCTTAGTACACACAATGCTAGATGGCCCATGAATGTAGTATATGCTGAGAAACTGAATAAATCTTATGTGTAATACAGACTGACTTTTATGTATTTTATATATGGTTGATGAAATGAAACATTAAAAGTTTTGTTAAGATTTTGAATCCAAAAATAGCTGCTAGCACTGTGAAGGATTTCTTGTTATGTGAGAAACTTTGGAACTTGCAGTGGCTGGTGTTGTTATGAATATGACCTTTATATAGCACACACAAGCCACGATAATGCATTGCCTTTTACTCTTTACTTATCAGGTTATGTTTCTTAGAGTTTCTTTTTTTTTTTTTATTCTTACCTAACATTTCATCGTTTATTCATTTACAAACACATTCTTTTGCCATCTTTCCAGAATCTCTCCTCTTAATCTTCATAAGCCAGAATGGCTGTTTAGAGACTATGACTCCTGGAATGTTTAAATGATGACATGGTTTTTTTATGTGATTGCTGCCTATCTCTTAGACTGCAAGAAGGGGCTTATTTTTCTTAAGTGCTCCAGGCCTCCTACATAAAAGAAATGTGTAATTGTATATAGCACCAAGTTTAGTTATAGAAATGTACTTAGCAGGAAAAAAATCTTTTGTGTTCACAGTTCTTTCTTTTTTCTTTTCTTTCTTTCTTTTTTTTTTTTTTTTAAATAAATTCTACACCCAACATGGGGCTTGAACTCACAACCTGAGTTCAAGTGTCACATGTTCTACTGACCAAACTAGCTAGGTGTCTCAGTCACTTAATTGGCTTGTCCTTAGAAAGAAAATTAAATATGCTTCCTGTGAGTTATTCATTCTATAAGTGGAAGCCTGCATCTCCCTCTCCCTTCACCCATTTTGCCTGTCCCCGCAAACCCCCCTTCTGGCAGCCATTGGTTCTCTATAGGTCTCATGCTGCTTTTTGTTTGTTTTTTCATATCTTTTTTTAAGATTCCACCTATAAGTGAAATCATATGGTATTTATTTTCTCAGATTTATTTTACTTAGCACAGTACCCTCTAGGTCCATTCATTTTGTTATAAATAGCACAATCTCATCTTTTTTTTTTTTTTAAGATTATTTATTTATTTGACAGATATCACAAGTAGGCAGAGAGGCAGGCAGAGAGAGAGAGAGAGGAGGAAACAGGCTCCCTGCCGATGTGGGGCTGGATCCCAGAACCCTGGGATCATGACCTGAGCCGAAGGCAGAGGCTTTAACCCACTGAGCCACCCAGGCACCCCCAATCTCATCTTTTCTTAAGGCTGCGCAGTACTCCATTGTATATGTACACTACATGTTCCTTACCATTTGTCTGTTGATAGACACTTAGGTGGCTTCCATATCTTAGCTATTGTAAGTAATGCTGCAATAAACTTATGAGTGCTTATATTTTTTTGAATTAGTGTTTTTGTTTTCTCTGGGTAAATACCCAGTAGTGGAATTATTGGGTCATGTGGTATTTCTATTTTAAATTTTTTGAGGTACTTCTATACTATTTTTCACAGTGACTATACCAATTTACATTCCCACTAGCAGTGTGGAATTCCTTTTTCTCTGCATCCTTGTCAACACTTATTATTTCTTGTCTTTTTTATTTTAGTCCTTGGCAGTGTTAATTGTGTAACGTGATATCTCATTGTGGTTTTGATTTGCATGTTCCTGATTACAGTTGAGCATATTTTCATGTGTCTATTGGTTACCTGCATGTCTTCTTTGGAAAAAATGTCTGTTTAGGTCCTCTGCTTGTTTTTAATTGATTGGATTTTTTATTTTGTTTTGTTTTGTTTTGTTTTGGTGTTGTATTCTTTATGTATTTTGGACTTAACTCCTTACTGCATATATAATTTGCAAGTATATTCTTCCATTTAGTAGGGTGTCTTTTTGCTTTGTTGATGGTTTCCTTCACTGTGCAAAAGCTTTTTATTTGATGTAGTCCTGATAGTTTATTTTTGCTTTTGTTCCTCTTGCCTTAGGAGACATATTTAGAAAAGTGTTATGGCTGGTGTCAGAGATATTATTGTCTATGTTTTTCTTAGGAATTTTATGGTTTCAGATCTCACATTTAATTCTTTAATCCTTGTGAGTTTATTTTTTGTGTGTGATGTTAGAAAGTGGTCCTGTTTCATTCTTTTACATGTAGTTCTCCAGTTTTCCCAACACCATTTATTGAAGAGATTGTCTTTTCTTCTTTGCATGTTCTTGCCTCTTTTGTCTTAGATTTAATTGACCATATAAGCATAGGTTTATTTCTGGGCTCTCTATTCTGTTCTGTTTATGTGTCTTTTTGTGCCAATACCATTGTTTTAATTATTGTAGCTTTATAGTGTATCTTGAAATCTGGGATTGTGATACTTCCAGCTTTATTTTTCTTTCTCAAGATTGCTTTGGCTATTTGAGGTCTTTTATAGTTCCATACAAATTTTAGGATTGTTTGTTCTAGTTCTGTGAAAAATGCTTTTGGTATTTTGATAGGTATTGCTTGGAATCTGCAGATAGGTTTGGGTAGTATAGACATTTTAACAGCCCTAATTCTGTCAATCCATGAGTATAGTCTTTAACCTCCTTGGTTATATTTTAGTATTTCTGGTGCAGTTGTAAATGGAATTATGTTCTTAATTTCTTCTTTCTAGTACTTTGTTATTAGCGTATAGAAATGCTACTGATTTCTAGGTATCCCGCAATTTCACTGAATTTATTCTAGTAGTTTTTTGGTGGAGTCTTTAGGATTTTTTATGTAGAATGTCATGTCATCTGCAAAGGCCCCCATACTGGATGGATATTAAACTGTCATAGTTTAACAACTTCCTTACCAGTATGGATGCCTTCTATTTCTTTTTCTTGTCTGATTGCTGTAGTTAGGACTTCCAGAACCATAGTGAATAAAAGTGGTGCTCTCAATTTTATTGATCTTTTATTTTTTATTTAAATTTATTTATTTATTTATTTAAGTAATCTCTACATCCCATGTGAGGCTGATTTCAACACCCCAAGACTGAGTCACATGCTCTTTTTATTGAGCAAGCTAGGTGCCTCTTACTGATTTTTTTCTATTGTTTTTTAATTTTTATGTCATTTATTTCTGCTCTGATCTTTATTATTTTCTTCAACTCACCTTGGACTTTATTCTTTTTTTTTTTAATTCCTTTATGCGCAAGTTTAGATTGTTTATTTGAGCTTTTTCTTATTTCTTGAGGTAGGGCTGTATTGCTATATATTGCCCTATTAGAACTGCTTTTGCTGCATCTCAAAGATGTTGGTTTGTTGTGTTCTCATTTTCATGTGTTTCCATAACTCATTTAAGTCATTGAGTCTTAAGTACCAAAATAGAGTGTCAGGTAGTAGTGATAGAAAGACTTAATTTCTGATGGGGAAATGAACTGATATATTGTCTCAGGCCAACTCTCATAAACATTCTGGTTACTGCTTATCTTGATAGAGTTAATTCAGAAACTAACTCCTGAAAACAAAAGTTGAGTATGACTTTTTAATTGGCACTTTTCTTATGGTTAAGAATTAGGTCCTTTGTGCATATGAATGAATTAGAAATAAAAATTTAGATTATTTCCCTATTTATCATTTTTTAAACATTTATATCATTGATATAATTCACATACTGTACATTTGTCCCTTCAAATTGTATAATTCAGTGGTTCTTAGTATATTTACAAAGTTGTACAGTCATCACCATTTTCTAATTCCCTTAAAGAAACTCTATACCCGTTAGCAGTCATTACCCATTTCCCCCTCCTTTTATCCCTTGGAAGCCAGTAATCTACTTTCTGCATTTATGGGTTTGCCTGTCCTGGAAATTTCATATGAATGGAATCCTGTAGCATGTAGCCTTTGGAGTCTGGCTACTTTCACACAGCATAATGTTTTCAGGGTTCATTCATGGTGTAGCATGTATAGTACTTCATTCCTTTGTTCTTTAAAAATACTCCATCGTACAGATACACTACATTTTGTTTATCTGTCCATCAGTTAATGGATACTTGAGTTGTTTCTGCTTTGGGGCTCTTAAGAATAATGTTGCTATGCACATTCATGTACAAGTTTTTTATGGTCACATGTTTCCATTTCTTTTGGATGTATGTCTTTAGTTTGTAATTCTTGTTGCTGTTCCTTTTGTTAGTGATTTTACTGAATTAATTCCCCAGATTTTGTACTTTTTGTCATGGTTGGCCACTGAAATCTCTGATTAGTTAGCTTAATGGTCATCTTATTGTTCGAGCTTTCCTTAAATGCCTTGATCTAATAAGTCTCACAGCCTTTGCTAAGTGATTGTGTGTACATGTTGGAGTATGTCTTCATTGCTCCAAAGAGAAGCTTTTAACTCTGATTTAGTCTTTATTCCACATTAGCAGAGAGCCTCAAAGTCAGCCAGTGATTAGAAATGAGGGTCTTTCTTGGGTAAGCACACAGCCCTGCATAATATATGCATGGCCTGCTTGAGTCCCAGGAATATATCAGAGTATTTCAAAGACCTCAGTGGAACTCTTATTCCTGAACTTTTCATTTTAAGGTTTATGGTTAGCTTCTTGTTTGCCCCAAATCTTACTGCCTCTTCAGTCACTTGGGATGTCACAGTTACCATTGGTTGGTTTTTGTTTGTTTGTTTGTTTTTTTAAAAAAGATTTTATTTATTTCTTTGACAGAGATCACAAGTAGGCAGAGGCAGGCAGAGAGAGAGGGGGAAGCAGCCTTCCTGTGGAGCAGAGAGCCCGATGCAGGGCTCTATCCCAGGACCCTGAGATTATGACCTGAGCCAAAGGCAGAGGCTTAACCCACTGAACCACCCAGGTGCCCACCATTGGTTGTTTTTGACAAATGTCCTGGGGAGAAGGCTATTTGCAGTGAGGGAACTCTGAATCAGGTCGGAAAAAGACAAGGCATGCAAAATGGAGATTTCCAGGGAACTTCCAGACATGTCAAATAATTACAGTTTCCTGAGGCTAGGACTTTTGGAGAATTCTAAACCTATTCTGCTCTAATTCTGAACCTATCTTCCCCTTAGTGGTTGTTAGGCCATTATTAGTTTATTAGGTGTTGGGCTACCATGATTGTGAGACTGCTGGTTTTCAAGGCTACCATAGAAGTTGGAAAAGGAAGATCGGTGTAGGGCAATTTAAAATGTTTCAGATCTCACTGTTTTTACTGAGTTTTTTTTCTTACTTGGACTATTTCATTAGCATCATCAACATCATCATTTTTGTCTTTTCAGTTTCTGTATCACAAGCAAGATTATCTTTACAGAATGCAAATTAGATTATGTCACCCATGTCACTGTAAAATCTTTCAGTGATTTTCATCAAGCATAGGTTCTAGTCCCAGAATCTTTCTTCTAGCCTATAGCTGTCAGAAATATTTGATAGCTTTTGCCCCTCCAACCTATAACTCCTGTTTTCATGATAGTGGCCTCAGTCCTGTTCTGGAACATGGTACAACTCTTTGTCTCAGTCTTCACCTGCATTGTTTTTTGTGCTGGGAATACCTATTTCCCAGCTCTTTGCTCCCAGCTGACTTCTAATCATTCTGATATCTGCTTAAATATTACTCCGTAGCTTCCCTAATTACATGGCTCCTGTTCTGATATATATATATTTTTATCTTACCTTGTGTTCTCCTCTTATAATCTTTATCACAGGATTTTCATATTTGTATATTTGAAACTATATATTTATTTTTGTGAATATTTGTTTTATCTGTATTCTGCTAGAATATAATCTGAGAGGAGGAATGTCTTTTTGCTATACTATACTCTTAGTTAAAATTCATAAATGAAACAGTCAATAGAAAGCATTGAAACAAAATATAGACTGATCTGAATTTAGTTTAGAGGGTGCCCAGTTCTATCACGTAGCAATGCTTATGTAGTCTCAAAGGAATAATACATAGTTAGTCAGATGAAAAGAGGCAGGATGTTCTTGGATGTGCAAAAGCCTAGAAGTGTGAGAAAACAAGATTTAGGAGACTGATTGTCAAACTTTTTGGTTTTAGTACCCCTTTATAGTCTTAAAATTGAGGCTTCCAAAGAGTTGTGTTGTTTAATGCAGGTTATATCAGTATTTATTATAAGAAATTGAAACTGAGAAACTTAAAAAAAAAAAACACTTAATTCACTTAAAAATAACAGTAAAGCTACTACATGTTAATCTAAATAACATCTTTTATGAAAAATTTAAAAAATGTTAATAAGAGTAGAATTATTTTTCAGAGTCTCTTACGTGTTGGGCTTATTTACTAAGAGAGACACCAGCTAGGTTCTTAGGTCTACTTCTTCATTCAGTCTGTTGCAATATGTTGTATTGGTTGCAGTCTATGAAGAAAATCTGATACCACTCAAATAAGTGGTTGGAAAAGGAGGAACATTTTAACAGTCTTTCAGATAGTTGTGGATATTCTTCTTTGATCTTAAGCCAAAGCTTAACTTGTTAGTTACAGTATAAATTAGAAAACATCTCAATGTATATTGAGATGTATATGTAATATATATACATCTCAATGTATTTGTACTTTATTAATTAAAATTAATTAAAATCACCAATTAAATTATTAATTAAATAAATTAATTAAATCAATCAAACAAATTAATTAAATAATTAATTAAATATTAATCGAATAATTAAAATTAATTAATTAAAATTCACTGGTCCTTTTTTGTGTGTTTTGTGGATATTTTACTTTGGTCATTCTGAAAATACCTTGGTCATTCTGAAAATACCGGGTTATTGAGTTCAAAAGATTTTCCAAATGGTGACATGTTCATTATAAAGTATTAAAAACCATGTTCATTGTTACCATTATAAAGTTATTAGAAAAGTCTTAAAGTCGTAGGAAGCTGTCAAACTCATGGAGGCAGATACAAATTATATAAAATTCTAAAATTTTGCTTGAAAGGTTGAACTTTATCATTGGCAAAAAATACCGCTAGTTGTTTCCTTTGAAGTGACAGGCTCATTTTACTAATTTTTCAGAAATGTCAGCCAAATACCCAAGTCTGAATAATCATAGTTATTCAAGGGTGGGGGTTAATTAGCTTACTCAGAATCATATAGAGAACAGGTCTTTCTGATTCTGTTATATTTTATTGCCCCATGTCTAAATTATTTGGGACTTGCCAAAGCATGTTCTTACAATAGTGTATTGTGGTATTTTTCCTAGAGAGCATGAATGGTTTAAACAAGATTTGCCCAGTTACTTATTTCCTGAAGACCCCTCCTATGATGCTAACGTCATTGATGATGAGGCTGTGAAAGAAGTGTGTGAAAAATTTGAGTGTACAGAATCAGAAGTAATGAACAGTTTATATAGTGGTGACCCTCAAGACCAGCTTGCAGTGGCTTATCATCTTATCATTGACAATCGGAGAATAATGAACCAAGCCAGTGAGTTCTACCTCGCCTCTAGTCCCCCATCTGGTTCTTTTATGGATGATAGTACCATGCATATTCCCCCAGGCCTGAAACCTCATCCAGAAAGGATGCCACCTCTTACAGCAGACAGTCCTAAAGCGAGATGTCCATTGGATGCACTGAATACAACTAAGCCCAAATCTTTAGCTGTGAAAAAAGCCAAGTGGCATCTCGGAATCAGAAGTCAAAGCAAACCGTATGACATTATGGCTGAAGTCTACCGAGCTATGAAGCAGCTGGATTTTGAATGGAAGGTAGGAAATTGTAATATCTTAAGATCATTTGTAAAAGTTAGCTTTATTTATTATTATTTTTTTTTTTGGTATAGTAAGCTGCTCTGATCTACTGAGTTGAGTACTTAGGTCTCTAAAAAAGTTGTTTATTTAGATACAAATTTAGTGGTCTTGGTGTTTCTGGATGATAAACCCCATTTTTTCCATTAATATACCAAGTGCATTCCAAACTAAACACAGTTCTGAAAGCATGAAGAGTTGTTGATGCTGCGGACCTACACATTTTTAGAGACTAGCATTCTTGGCCAAAAAACAGAAAGTAATCAACCTGAAATCACCTGAGAAAATAGTCCACCTATTTCTGTCTGCATCATAGCAATAAAAAGTCATGTGTCTTTGAAGATGCTGTGTTTTTACTTTTCTCTCTTTTCTTTTTCCCTCTAGCTATAACAGTTAGGGGTCAATAAAAGTGATACCATCAGGACATATTTATTCAGTCAACAAATACTTTCCTCTAGGTTAAGAAAATCTCTTTTATTTGGCTAGTGCTTTTAATCCTTGGTTATGGTATATTTTTCTTACTCTTAGCTCCCAATTTTCTTTTTTTTAAATTAGTGCTCAAATTCATTGCAATTCTGTTTGAGTGGGAGGGAAAGCATTTTTTTTCATTTCAGATATCTTTTACTCTTCTTTTCTTGAGGACTATGAATGTATTTTTAAAGGCAGAATAAAAATATTCAAATATACCTTGTGTATATTCATTTGACATGTTTGAAACATCTATCATTTTCATTTTATTTGTACAAGAAATGAATAAACAAGATAATAGTTCCTTAAAACTGTTTAAAAACAGATATGCTTTTTCTTAAGCAATTTAGTTAAAAGAAAGACATTAATTTCTTTAAAATTCCATACTGAAAAAAATTTGGAACTCATTTTTCTTTTAAAGATTTTATTTATTTAATTGACAGTGAGAGACACAACGAGAGAGGGAACATAAGCAGGGGGAGAGGGAGAGGGAGAAGCAGGCTTCATGCTAATAAGCGGGGAGCTGGATGTGGGGCTTGATCCCAGGATTCTGGGATCATGACCTGAGCTGAAGGCAGACGCTTAATGACTGAGCCACCCAGGTGCCCTGGAACTCCTTTGACAGATGTTTTGAAAACCCAGAATCATCTTTATCTGAGCTGCAGTTTTCTTCTGTTCAAAGGGCAGATAAAACTTCTTCACAGAATTATTGGAATACATAAATTTTGTGACAGTACCTGTTTATACTGCCTAATGCAAACTATTAACGTTAGTTCTGTTTTATTCCTCCTACTCCATATTAATAGGTAAAGGTATTCAAGTTGAGGCTGGGTGACCAGAATTGTTGTTGACATTTTAGAACAAAGGCATAGCTAGAGTGAAGGCTGGACTTTACATAATCTCTGAGTTCCCTTTAAATTTCTGGTGATCTGCACAGACAGTCCTATTAGTGGAGATTAAATAAATACTAAATACTAAAGTGTCATGTAATATTAGAAGATGATTCAGGAATTCCTTCTCTACCCCACCTGTCAGCTATTTCAATACTCTTTGCAATAAGAATAAGGGAGATACTATAGCTTTTTATTTTTAACATTTTTCCTTAAAAAATGTTTCTCACTTTAGGTAGTGAACGCATACCATCTTCGTGTAAGAAGAAAAAATCCAGTGACTGGCAATTATGTGAAAATGAGCTTACAACTTTATCTGGTTGACAATAGAAGCTATCTTTTGGACTTTAAAAGCATTGATGGTAAGGAAGCTATGCAGGCATGAGCTCTGAGAAGATAAAACTTGGCAGTAGTTGACAAGATGTTAAAATCATCTCAAAGACATGGTGGGTAGGTCTTCTATGCTGGTTTTAAAGTAATCTAGAGTTAACTAAAAATGCAAGTGAAATGAAAAGGATTGAAGACGTGGAATATCTCTAACCCAGCACTTCTTCAAAAGACGTGCCTCCTTGGCATAAAAAACTCGCTTGCAGTGTTGGTTGTGGAGCTAAAGTAAGGAATAACAGGGAGGCAGTTTTTACCTAATATTGCGTGATGCTGTCCGGTTCTTTGTCACATTTCTTCATTCATATTTTCTTATTGTTAGGATTATATGAACTTCTCTGTTCATCAACTTTCCTCATCCTGGTTGGCCAAATGAGTCTCTCCTTGTATTCAGGTTGGATTTTGATGCCCCAATCATTTAGGAGATGAAGGAATCAGGAAGGTGGTTGTTGTTTGTGTCTAAGTGTTTAGTGGGTGCCAGAAGTCAAACCCTCATGAACCAGATGTTCAGTACAGAGGCCCAAGTGGGATAAAAACAGTAAACCAGGGGTCAGGTGCAGGACAGAACCAGAGGAGAACTGAGTTCAGAGTTAGGGAAGTTGTTTTCAACAGAACAGTTAAATTTTATTCTGAGCTATCACTGCCTGTCATCAGAATTACCCAGAGTTCTTAGTAAAATGCAGATTGTTGGGAACTACCCCCAGATCTACCAAATCAGAATTTATTTCTAGAGGTGAGTCCTGGGAAACTGGAAATCTTTATTTATTTATTTATTTATTTTTTAAGATTTTATTTATTTATTTGACAGACAGATCACAAGCAGGCAGAGAGGCAGGCAGAGAGGGGGGGGGGGGGGGGGGGGGAGGGGAAACCCCCCCCCCCCCCCCCACCCCGAGCAGAGAGCCCGACTCTGGGCTCCATCCCAGGACCCTGGGATCATGACCTGAGCCAAAGGCAGAGGCCTTAACCCACTGAGCCACCCAGGCGCCCCTGGAAATCTTTATTTTTAACAAAATTTCCTTACCCCATCCCCAGGCATTGTGTACTGAAGGTTCAGAACCACTGTATAATGGTAACTTTTTATTTTAATGTTTTTTTGTTGTTGTTGATATGCTGCAAGAAAATAATCATTCAGGGATATTCTTTCTTCAAATGCGATATCAGTTTAAATTCAAGGCTGATGCCAAATACTACACTGAGAAGGATTTAGGGGTGACATTTTGACTGTTAGTGTTGTAGTTGATGAGTGATGTCTGTTATAATTGTGAGAGGAAAGGGGTATTGCTTCTCCTGCTCTTAAAACTCTGAAACATGCCATCCATGAAGTTTCCCTTGTTCAGATATGGGTTTTCTGTTTTCAGTTTTCTGAATATAGCATCTTCATAGGAAGGGCTTGGGCAAATATACCTTTCATATAAATTGCTCTTCTTTCATCCATTTCAGATGAGGTGGTGGAGCAGAGGTCTGGTTCTTCAACACCTCAGCGTTCCTGTTCTGCTGCTGGCTTACATAGACCAAGATCAAGTTTTGATTCTGTAACTGCGGAGAGCCATTCACTTTCTGGCTCTCTCACTGGCTCTTTGACTGGAAGCACATTGTCTTCAGTTTCACCCCGTCTAGGCAGTCACACCATGGATTTTTTTGAAATGTGTGCCAGTCTTATCACTACTTTAGCCCGTTGATGGTGTTTCTTTAGTTTCTGTCTTTCTGTTATAGCACTGTGAAAATCAGATAGATTCTTAAAATTATTATTTTACTTATGGATATCATACACTCTGGAATACTGATGGAGAGTCATGAGTATTTCCAGGGGACACTCAATGCCATTGAAATTATTGAAAACAAAAAACTCCGACATTTTACTTACCTATAGACGTCTGTACTTCTGTTTTGCCTATGATAAATTCATAGAGGCAGTATCTTTAATTGGCGAACATTGATGAAGAGTATTGTTACTTTAAAATTGTGAGTTCACTACAGATGATTAATACACCTTCACTGGTGAGTCATCTCAGTCAAAGGGTGGTTTGGCAATACCTCTTTGCTCTACTATTTAGTGTAGGTAAATCCAGTTTATTTCCTAAAGTTCAGCAGGCTTTAAGCTGTGTTATGCACCCAGTCTTCTTGCACAAGATTTAAAAAAAAATTAACACAGCCATTAGTAAGATGGTATTTAAATGTTGAAACCTTAAAGGCTGGCCCCCAGAATTTTGGAAGCCAAGTTCTTCTAGTAGTTTTAGGTTTTGAAAATACTGCCTAGTGTTTAACAGAAGGGTTGTGGTCCTGAAACAGGTAACTGGTTTCCAGGTTCCTTAAAAACAGCTTATAACCAGCTAGAGATTTTATTCGAGATTTCCTTGGATAATATATTTACTTAAGAGTCTTCGGTGTTCTTCTCAGTATTAGAACATCTGAAATTACAATTTTTGGTTTTTCATAAAAAACATTTTTTTTAAACTAAACATCATTTTAAAACATGCCTTCAAAACTACCTTTCTCAAATTCTTTTTGCCTCTATTTATTTTTGTATTTCACCAAGCATGATAAAATAGTTAAATGAAACAAAGCAAAATACCAACAGTTCCTTAAAATAGAACTTTTACCTTTGATTTAATGTATGTGGTGGTGGGGAGTGTGTGCATATGTCCCCCTGCATCCCACAATGCTAATTCTTCATCTAAAGTTCAAGTTTGTTATCACAGCCATCTCCCCCGCCCCCACCTTCACACCACCAGTTTCTTTGTTGTCTGATCCTTAGTGGCTGATTTACTTAGCTTTTAAATCTTTTCTGGTTCCCTTTCTTTGTTCTGAATCTTGGTTGCTAGCCATCCAGTTTGAAAACACTGTTCTGGCCCTAAGGGCTTTTCTGTACCTCCAAAGCTTATTAGGTTGTGACCTTACCTGTTGAGGCTGTTAGGCTAGGGAAGCCTTAAAAATTAAAAAAAAAAAAAAAAAAATTCTCTCTTGAATAAATGTATGTGTTGTTTACATATATACATATATGTATTCACACACCAGTGCTTTTAAAGGAAAAAACCAAACAGTTTCTTTGTTTTGCTTTGTGCAGGTTTTTTTTTTTTAAGTTTAAAAAGAAACCTATATACAGCAGATTAGATAATAGCTCATTGCTTATATTGTTTTAGTCAAAGTATTTAATTTTTAAATTATGTGTAATTTATCTAATTTGTATTTATTCATTTGTTTAATGTGTTATAATTACACTCTCATTCACCTGACTTACCCTAGATAAGATTAAGCTCTTGAAAACAGGTTTCTGTTTGCCAAAAATAATGTTTTCTACCAAGAAGCAAATGAAAATCTTTGGCCAAGTTTCTCTTATGTTTTTGGAAGATAAGCATGTCTGTCTTTAAGTAGTTTCGAGTCAGGAGTTTGCAGTGTGTCACATCATATTGGTTTATAGAACTTTTTAAAAACGGTGTTAAGTAACTTTTAAGTCTGACTTCATAATATCTAAAGGAATCTTTGCTCGCCAATTTGGGAAAAAGGGTGGGTTTGCATTGAACTCTTTTTAAGTTTAAACCTTTGAAAGATTGCCATCTAGTGGCATCAAAGGGTACTTTTTGTGATTGTTTTTAGAGGGATAAGCGTCCTGCTGTGCGTTATAGATAGGGCATAATTTTAACGTCTTCAAATGTGTAAATACCTCTTTTGGGAAGAACAGGTCCACCTCATATGATTTGCTTGACTGTGATTGATCTTAGAAATAGGAATTCTGATGATTCCTTATCCCTAATGACAAAATCCCTAACAATTTTGAAGGTGGAAAAACAGCAAGGAATATAGTGGCATTTTAGCTTTGTTAGTCGAATAAATCAGATATTAAGAACTTATTCATATATAAATACTTTATATTGGTGATTATCATGTTTATTGAGAATTAAAAATATTATATACTATTTTCTCATTCTTGCCAGTATTTGTGAATATCTACATTTTGATGGTTATCTGTTGAATTTTAGGAGAACCAGGGTTGCAGTTTCAGTTCTCTTATGCTTACATTTTTAAAGCACAGCTACTCTGAATCTAGAAGGTACAGTAAATTGCTTTATATTGAGGAGATTTCAGGAGGCTCAGTACGGCATAATAGGGGCCGGAACAATGTCATAGGAGGCTTTTGTTGCTAATGGGCAGGAAAAGGGAAAGAATCAGTTGCTAAATTCCCACATTTCAATCTTGTAACCCGGTTAATCAGGGGTGTGGTATGTGGTTGTTAGATCTGCGGTGGGAAGAATTTCTTCAAGTTAAGATTTTGGAGGAGAGCTTCTATTATTAGGTTATAAAGAATTAGCTACATCATGGAAATGAACTCCATATGGTTCTACAATAGCATTTCCCACACTGTATCCCTGAGGTGCTGTGCTGAAAAACGAGTCCATTGAGCAAGTTTGGAAAGTGTTATACGCCACACTTGCTTGAGGATGGAGTGGATATGAGAATTAAAGACTTTGAAAAGTCCTTCAGAGAAAAAAAGAAAACTTTAACCCTGCTTTCCCCAAATTAATTTAACTACTTTTAATCTTAATATTCCATGGGAAAAGGCAAATTTGGAAAATACTATTTTAGGAAACTTATTGTTCCAGGTTGCTATAATTAGTTAATTATATATGTAATATGTATATTACATATATATAATAATATATGTAATTATATAATGATAATTAACATAGGAAATAATAGAATTAAGGTATCTTTTCTTCTTACCAGTTGCTGGAGAGAATATGGTTCAGAATCAGAAAAATTTCATTTTAACCTGTGGACATCCTCATTTGAGCAAATGCTGGCCTAAACAAAATTTTGTATGTCTGTGATGTGTTTCATAGCACCTTGATTTTCTTAATCAGATTGTGGTATTGTTTGGGAGCAAAATTTATTATTTGTTGTGTTGAATGGATAGCTGAGAAAACTTAAAGCAGATTATTTGTGTAAAAAAAAAAAAGGCCTAAGAAACTAGTGACTAATGCTTATTATGGCTCTATGGCTTTGTAGGCAATGAGTCTATGACATTGATTCTCACTTTCAAACTGTATAGTCCGTGAACATTTTCTAAATACAGGACACCATATTTAGATCTAATTCCTGTAATCTGTAATGTAGGAACAGATAAATTGGATGGGGAGGTAGGCAAACCTATTTCAAGTTGGATTTTGTTTTGATCAACAAACTTTTGGCACACTTTTGTAACCTCAAGTATTTTGTTCCTTGGTATTAGTCTGCTATAACAAGAATCTAGGAGCCTAAATTAATTGGAAGTACCAGTATTTCTCTGTCAGATAATTGGCTGTATGTTTTACAGACAATTCTCCATTTTCTGCAAATAGGGTTCCCATGAGAGTTGCATAATTGTTGCTTTTTCTTATTCTCTAGCCAGTTTGTACTCAGGGAACATAAACTTTTTTTTTTTTTTATATTGGAAGAGACATAATTAAGAAAATAATCATAGACAACTGTTACAGGTTTTCTGACTGTTTGAATTTATCTGTAGTTTCTATTAATGTGCAGTATACTGAGTTAATATAAGTACTGTACCTTCCACTTATAAAATAGAAAAGCTTAGAATATGCTTCCCACAGACACGGTATCTTTGTCTGCCACTGGTTAATAATTTAAATCCTGTTGATGGCTGTGAAATCTCAATATCTAAATGCAAACCATGTTCATGGTTTTGTCTGTTTTTGTTTTTAAAGAACTCCATCTTTTCAGTCTGGCATATCTTTACCTGGTCATTCTGTCATTCTGTGACTTTTTAAATAGGGAAGGTAATTTATTTTAATAATCATTCTCAGAGGCTCTATTGGAAATTCTGGATGAGGAATATGTGCAATCTGTTAGTAAATCACACCTATGTTGGACCTCAGTTTGTAACCACTAAAGTGGGAGGATAGGCTAGAAGGCCTCCAAGGTACATTTGAGCTTTAAAGTTCTGTCTTTGCCTTTTTTGTGTGATTGTGTTAGTGTTCACTTTTTATATATTTAGAGATTTTATACTAGTGTCAATGTTCTGTATTTGGTGAGGCATTTTAAAGGTTTATACTTGAAAAAAAATTTAAATACAGCTGTCCTCTAGAATACAAATGGCAAAAGTCATCTAGAAAACTGAACACGTTAAAACATCATGTGCACTTGGCATAAGCAAAATATTACTAATTTGAAGTATTAGAAGTGTTCCATACTTTTTTATAGTGATTTTTAGATCCAGAGACCATGTCTATTAACATAGTTAATACACTACAGTAATCTTGTGAGGTATAACCATTTTCTAGTCGAGGAAGCAGGACCACAAAGCTCTTCATAAAGCTTTAATGCCATACAAGTATTCAGCAATGACCACTGCTCTTTCTGTCCCACCTTCCTCAAGGGGAGAACAGTCTGAATCACTGAAACATCTGAGTAGTTGAGTAATAAATATAAACCCAGATGTATTGCTTTCAAGTCTTTGAGTGACATAAAGTAATCCTAACTGAATATTTCTTAATTATTGGAACTAGTTGATTATACTAAAATTATTTATGATTAGTATATTGATATTTATAAGTACTTTTGAATTATTGAGGGTGCTTATAAAATACTGAAGGTGTTTTAAGCATGATTCTTCCTTTAATTTTATTTACTTGATCCTTGTAGCACAGTCTTTTATAAAAAGTAAAAGTAGGTGCAGCCCCTATCTTAAATTATAATAGTTTTTGACTGTTATCTGAATTAGGTTTATCTAAATTTCATGTACAGATTGATAATTTTTCATTTTGTATGGGTATTTAGATGATAAACACTGTTTTCATAGAGTATATCTCTGTTCACAAACTACCTAATTATTATTGGCTTGATATTCTCCCAGATCTTACAGAACTTTGAAATGTCATTTGTTTGATGAGCTTTAAAAAAATGATACGTTACTTGAACAAGTTCCTGGCTTCCTTACTAGCCTTTCCACATATAATCTTGATGGATTTGATACCACTGAACAGTAATAGCATAAAGTAAACAGTAAGAGCATAAAGAACCTGACTCACAGTGAGACTGGACTGAGTTTTAACTAAACTTTTTCAGCCAGAACCTGATAAGAGTCAGCCTGGGTCTAGAAGTTACCAGACTGTGGGCCGGTATTAGCGTAGTGAGCCAGTGTTCGCGTTTACTGCCCCACTGCAGAGCAGTGCCATTTGCAGCCATGACTGTGATGGGATTTCGGGTAACTACTGTTTATATCCAAAGCAGTTTAGGTTTTGCGGAGGTAGCTCATGATTATTTGGACAAGCAAGATAGGTAAATTTCAGTTACATTTAAAGTGCAATTAAGGAAACCCCAGAGTAGTGTGTTCTTTCCAGGAAAAAAAGCTGAAGTATTTGTAGAGTATCTTAGCATGAAAACTTTTCTGAACATACACAGAATTTTGACAAGGTTTATCTGTGTGATTTTGCAAGGTTAACTGCTTTGTGTTGATTTAAAATTTCAAGGAGGCACAGGAATGGTCTAGCCCCAGAGAACTACATAGTTAGTTTTTTGCTGCTTAGTTAATTTTTTAACTTACATAGTTAATTTTTTGCTGCTTATTATAAGAGTTTATTTCTCACAGCTAAAAATCCCTTTTAAGTTAATTTTGTTACAAAGAAAGGCCATTCTTCTAGATGGATAATATTTTCCTGAATGGAAAAAAAATAGATTAATTGCTCTAAACAAAACACCTTAATTGTGCCTTCTCAAATTATAGGAATAGTAATAATTAGTCAAAAATTTGTCTGAAGTTGTTTTTTCTAATTGCTCTTGTTTTCCCTCAGTTCTGCCCTCCACAGATGGTTACATTGTTTGCTTTTGCCTGTTTGGTTTTCAGGCTCCTTTGCCTATACCTCACCCTATCACTGTCAGAAGCTGTTCACTGGATGTATTTTTCTGTTGCCTTTATGTTGTTTCACTTCTTAAGTCATTTTGGTGAAACTT